AGCTTCTATATATATATAATGTCTTAATACAAGAGCAGAGACATGACTCCATCAGTGCAGGGGCTACAGTGGAGGATGCAGATGGATGAGCCTCTAACCTTCTCTCTGACTCATCATTGCAAATGTAGATCGAGCTGAAATCACAGGACAGCCGTCGTGTTTAACTCATGTGTTTGGTGATTCCTTCAGACGATTGTGAAATCAGGATTTTAGCTGAGCAGCGTCTGCTGGGTAACATGTTGTTGGGCCACACTTTAGTCACTTGTTCCATCGTCTAACAATGGAACCAGGAAAACATGTAAATGGGATCCTTCATTTATTATTCAAGTACTGTATATGTGAGCACAAAGGAGTCTTATTACACCGAATGGAGCCCAGGCCTCACTCAGTTTTAACCCTGGGGTCTTTTACCCAGATGTCCTGTTACCTATTCACAGACATTTGTCTCCAGCAACACTGAAATATCATCTTAGCTACATGTGGCGCTGAGTTGAAATTGGCCACTGAACTGTAAAGTGACAATGTGGTGGCTGATGGTGTGAACACAGACGAACATCTGTCCAACCACTGGGCCGATACTGAGTGAATGTGATAATAACTGTGCACCTGTTTGCTTTTCTGTTCCCCCTCTGCTTCTCTTTGTCGATGTAGTGATACCACGATAAGGTGAGGCGTCTTTTCTCTACATGAATTCATCAATGTGTGTGTGTGTGCAGTACGGAAATTATGTAAAATGGCATGTTTTGTGTTTAGACCTCGGAAGAGAGATTTAAATGAATGATCACGGTCTGCATCTGTTCATAAATGGCAGTAGATTAGATCTTTTCATTTGGTTTCATCACTGCTGCTGATGATTCCTGAAGTTCAGTGATGGATTTACCATCAGTGCTGATCATGGCCTCCTCTCCGCTCTCCTCTAGGTGGATGAAGAAGCCCAGATGTGGCGTTCCCGACCAGATAGGGGGTGCGTCCAAATTCAGTGTCAGGAAACGGCGGTACGCTCTCACAGGACAGAAGTGGCAGCACAAACATATCACATACAGGTGGGTTTGTTAAGATTTGTATGTCACAGCTAGAATGGCACTCAATAGAGTGAGTACCTCCACCAAGGCCCAGGAGTCCCCTTAAATGGAATCAAGCTGCACCAAATTTCACAAAGCCAAAAACGTCAGTTCCCTTAATCTGCCTTATCATTTTGATCAATATTCATGAATTGTTCCTTGGGAAATTGGTGAAAATGTCAAAAACAGAAAAGAAATCCTGGACCTGCTTCCTGAACTGGATCTATGAAACTCCTATTTCTGTATGTAAAGTTTTGGCAAAGCTTTGTCATATATGTGCCATTTGTGTGGAATGAAGTGTTTTCCCAAAGAACAGCTTCTGAACACACAGTCATCAAGCTTCAGTCTTATATGATGAAGAGAAAGTTACACAAATGTTCAACTAAACCTTATAAGTTATAACACGCAGTACAGACCATGTACTTTAAACCCTGTGACTGCAGCATTATCCCCAACAAAACATGTGGCACAAATGGGTAAAAGAGTTTACACGCACCAGAGACATCATCACCAATTTCATGACTCTTTAGCACAATTTGTGGCATGCAGCTCCATGAGTAATAATGTATAGGACAACATGCTGCAGTTATATAATATTTATTGAGGTCAGTAGCCCAACATGTGTAATATTGTATACCTACTATGCTGTCGCCTGTCCCCCAGCTCCATGTTTCATGGGATAATCCTTAAGAAGTGGAAATGTTTTTTTATTTCTGCTCTGCCTTGAGGATAGATGTGTAAGCAGCATTACATGCTGAATATAATCTAGTGGATCAGTGACCTACAGCTGAAGTAGGACTGTATACTACTGCATTTTTCTCTGTAAAATATTACACTGGGTTAGGGCTTGGAAGCAGTTCTGTTAGTGCCTGGTTCATCTGTGATGGCACAGGTCTAAAGAAAAGAGGAAAACGAGCTGAGCAACTGGATGAAGAGCGGAAGAGGAGATTGGTGGAAATGAGGAGTTGTGGAGGAGAAGCAGCTGCAGAGAAAGAGATGAGCTGAGAGGAGGAAACCCCAGTGGAGGGCACAGGGTGCTCTCTGACAGATTAGGGTTATGTAATAGGGTGTGTGTGTGTGTGTGTGTGTGTGTGTGTNTTATCCCATCTACCAATGGCTGGTAAGCTGAAAAGGTTACCTCCCAAAATAGCTTTCAACCAGCCGTAGAACTGTAATATTGTTAAAACAGTGTAATAAGTAATTACCCAGTGATTGGCAATGACATTTCATATACAGTATATTTTATATACAGTATATATATCAGCTGATATATTGGTTATGGAAATTTTTTACTCTCACATGTTGTATCAGCATTAGGCCCCAAACCGTGACATTTGAAGGACCTCTTTAAAACACATTGTATCTAGGAAGGTGGTCGTGGTGACTTGCACTTTTTGTACTGGGTATTTTGTGTGAGTAAACAGCACTGAAGATAATTACTTGATCCTTTGTTAGAATTCACAGATTCCTCTTTTAAACAGTTTAATCATGTCCCTGCCCCACATCAGACATTTGTAAGCATTCTCCATTAAAATCCTAAAATCTGCAAGTGAACCACCAGAATATACAGGATTTTGCAAAACAAAGGACTTTTTTCAGTCTGCTGAAAGTCATTCAAGTAGTTACTGAGGATACACCTAATTGTCATTTGAAAGTCAAACTGAACAACCTGGAAGATTGGTGTCTAATGCATAATCTTCAGTGTGCATTAGCACCTGAACACAGCCACTCCCACAGTCTGTTTGTCTCTGTTCCACTGAAATGTGCTGAGCTATTATGGTCGACACAACATGCACAGACAAAGAGAATGTAAAGGGTGGAAGTGGATTCAGGGTCAGCCAGGGATGTCTTTGATCCATGCTAATGAACTTCTTTGTGAAACACTTTGTGAACCATTCAGGTTTCACTCTTCATTTCAATAGGGTTGGTTGCAAACAATACAGGGAGGTGGAATTAATAGAGCACTTGTTGTTATTGGTACTACTCCAGAAAAATTTTGAGGAGGATTTAACGCATTGGAATTAAGTGTAATATCATTATTACAGTAAAGTTACAGTAAAGTTTATAAGACAATTATTCAAAGAGATAGATAGAGACTTTATTGATCCCAAAGGAAATTCAAGGAGAGCATTTGGAAAAATGATTCTGATGCAATCTTTTTGATCAGTAAAAGTTGTTGTTATCTTTATCAATAATTTAAGCAGTTTCCACTGTAATTGTAAATTGCTTGTTTTTTGGTTTTGAACTTTATATGATGGTCCTTCAGGTTCTGCAAATATGTGAAAATTCACATTTTCATACATTGATAATAAAATACTTTTTAATTGCAGTATAGTGTGTATACTGTGCACTGTCAAAGTTTCTGTTAATTTCTATTTTTTTTAATGTAAATTTCTTGTGTATTCCAGATGCCCGTTTCTACATCGGACAGCAGGTGACACCGAGCGCAGATACCACCTTCGCTACTATAAAACGGGATCATGTATCCACGAAACCGATGCAAAAGGCCACTGCAGCAAAAATGGCTACCACTGTGCCTTTGCACATGGATCACATGACCTGCGCAGCCCTGTCTATGATATCAGGTGCCCAAAAGAACTTAACCTACAAAAAGAGCCAGCTTTTTTTAGCTTGAAAAAAAAAAAGTTGTCTGTGTATCTGTGTTATAGTCATTTCAAGTCTCTTGTCACACTGTGGATTTTACAGAGAAGTGCAGGTGATGGAGTCTCAGGGAGGCTCGGGGGCCTCGGAGGGAGGTGGAGGAGACGGGCAGTCGGGACAGGCAGCAAGTACTGCCCTCATAGAAAAGGTCCTGAGTGAGGAACCACGCTGGCAAGGTAAATTTATGTAACAGCACATTATACAACAGACATTTCATGTTTCCAACTGGAGTGGTAATTCTCATTAAAGTTCAACAACTGTTATTTTTGTTCTTGCTAGAATAGTGATACTTATAGATCTTTTTCTAATGCTGTATATGTAAAGCCTACTGGGGGAAAGCGTTTCAAATATTTTCAGTAATACCCTTGATGATGCTTTTGGTTGTGATTGTTTTTTTTCGTGTTCTTTCTGTGTAGATAATAACTACGTGCTGTCCCACTATAAGACCGAACTGTGCAAGAAACCACCCCGTCTGTGCCGTCAAGGTTATGCCTGTCCATATTATCATAATAGCAAAGACCGGAGGCGAAGCCCACATAAGCACAAATACAGGTGCTGTTTTACATCATGTAATAAGAGATTTCAAAAATATCAATTGATTGTAGTTGTAATTAAGAAAATTGTCCTAAAAATGTGTTCCTACTCCCACAGAGCGCTGCCATGTCCAGCGGTTAAGCAGAGCGAGGAATGGGGAGATCCCAGTAAATGTGAGGGAGCAGAGGGATGTCAGTATTGTCACACGAGAACAGAGCAACAGTTCCACCCAGAGGTTTGTGTGATTCAGCAGAAATCATTCACAGTCTAGACCAGAGCTTGCAAAGGGATGATGATCAGGTTCAGTATGTGCTTGTTGTTCTGTCACAGATCTATAAATCCACAAAGTGCAATGACATGCAGCAGTGCGGCAGCTGTCCCAGAGGGCCCTTCTGTGCCTTTGCTCATGTTGAAAGTAAGATCCCACAATGCATCTGTTTGCATTTCACAGCAAAAATCTAATGATCTACTTTGTCATTTAATGTTGTTTTATTTAAATCCTACTCTAGAGCCCTTTGTTCCAGATGAACCATCATTCCCTGCCCCTACCTCTCCACCACCCCCCAGACCTCCAGACCCTCTTCCTGCCCAAGAGACATCTTCAAGCCCCAGCGGAGCCATCATGGGGTCCGGTTCTGTTCTGGACCCCTTTTCTCCATCTGCAGGGTTGTGTATAGCAGAGCATGGGCTACTGGGTAACGTTCTGTCCTTGTGTGAGGACACAATTGGAGGAGCTGAGCCTCTGTCTCCCTGGGCGAAAGAAGGAGGGTACGGCAGAGCACCTGGATTTGAGAGGGAGGATCAGGTGAGAAGGACGGATACTGACACAGGGAAACACAGGCATTACAGGATACTGATAAATAAAATGAATTATTTACTATATTATTATTATAGTTACTATGCTTCTCCTACATGTTGTTTCACTCTCATATTGTTTTTGGTTTCAGGCCAAGCAAAGGAGTTTTGCTCTTGAGCAGCGTAACAGAGAATTGGCGTCAGTACAAAGCAAACAGGTAAAATAACATTTGATTTTTTTTTTTATCATTCATATGTACTCCAAAATTCTGTATACTTTTTAGCTGACCCCCATATTTTGCTACAAGGTCACAAAAAAGTAACGACTGTTTCCTCAAATGCCACATTTTCTCTTTCAGGACTTGTTGGTATTTTTACCAGTGGGAAGCCCTTTGAGTCTGTCCTCCAGCATCCCCTCCAGTCTGGCTGCCACCCCACCCAGCCCCGCCACGCTTGGACCTCCAGGGTGCAGCATCTCCTCAGGCATGAATGCTAATGCTCTGCCCTTTTACCCCACCAGTGAGACTGTGGAGTCAGTTGTTGGTAAGTCAGTGTCGAAAATCGGACTCCTTGCAATCAGTCGTGTCAGTGAACATTTAAAATGACTGCAATATGTTTATATAAAGTGTATATGATATGTGTGTTTGATAGAGTCCGCCCTGGATGATCTTGACTTGAATGATTTTGGTGTGTCGGCGTTGGAGAGGAGGTTGGAAAGCAGCTCTACTCTGCCCAGTGTGGGAGTGATGCTGGGTATTTCAAAGACACAAACTCATAGAACTACACAGCACTTTAATATGAAGCAACACACACACACACACACACACACACACACACACACACACACACACACAACCATAGAAGTAACAATTTGTGTATTTGCTTTTGTAGGAGGCAGCCAGCTCCAGAGTTCCGCCCCAGTCAACATCCCAGGATCCTTCAGCAGCTCAGCTCCGTTCAGTTCCCCCTCACCGTCCCCTCCAATCAGGACACATGCATCACCCTTCTTTTCTTCTCACCTGTCACAACCTAGCCAATCAGAGAGCTCCTTCCTTGGGCCGTCTCATAGCTCTTTAGGTTAGTGGAATTTGATCCAAGACATCACATGGTGCAGTGAGTGATGAGGTGTTTTTGATAATATTTATTCTGTTATTTTTTAGGTTTGAATGGTATGAGCACTAACATCTGGGAGCACTTTCCATCAGGGCAGGGCTCCCCCGGTACACCCCCCACCCTGCTGCCCTCTGGGCCCTGTGCAGAGACCGCCCGGCTCAAACAGGAGCTGGAGGAGGCTCACAGGGCACTGAAGCAGTGGGGTCACAGTTGGAGACACACAGCTCAGGTAGGTAGGTAGTGGGGCATGTGTGCATGGGTCTGTGACATGAAGTGTGTGTACATGCACACTAGTATCTCAGATACAATCAGATTTTTGGGGGGAATATCATGGTTATGTGTAAACATCTTATTCTGGTTTAAGAAACCTGGATAAGCTCTTAGTAGTATCTGATAGGTCCTGTTCGTACTGGTATTAACATCTGGTATCCACATTTCTGTGAAGCAGAAAGAATTTAGCCACATGCTTCTCCTGTGGTGTCAGTCAGCGGATCTCAGAACACATGTGGGTGCATTCAGACCTGAACCTAGTGCTGACTACTTCGAATCAGATCACAATACCAGGTGTAAATGGGGTCATATACCTCTTTTACCTCAAAATTAGCAGGTATTAGATAAACTCCTTTCCCATTGCCAGTAGAGGAGTTTGTTTTTGTTCCCTGGTGAGTCACATTTGACATCACAGACGCACCAGAAACTGAGAAGCTTGCTGTCTTGCCAATCAAAGAAAAATGTTTCCATCACTGCCAATCAGAGCTGGAGCCGATAAAAAAAAATGTCTATTGCAGAGTTATTTGACCCGGGAGTGAATGTTGATTGTATCCATTCTAATTGCTGACAAAAGCCAGATGTTAGTGGGTTTTTTGA